GACATTTTAAGTAGTTATAAAAATTTATCAGAAAAATTACGGTAATTAGTTTAAAACAAAAGGGAAAAGAGGGTAATAAAAGAATGGTCAAAATGTAATAAATTAAATATGCATGCGCATTATACTTTTAAAGAAGCGAGAAAAGTAAAGCGAAAAAACAAGAGTGACCTTGAGCGGGAAATTATTAGAGCGGGAAATTATTGAGTGGGAAATTATTATGATATAAGGTGGCACCCTTTGATCTTTTTTATTACTTTGTTTACTACTTTTTTTTTACATTACAACCTGTCGAAGACACATTACCATCTGCCCAGGACACATTACCGTTTGTCAAAGACACATTACCATCTTCGAAGATGGTAAGGTAATAAAAATTCTTACGGACTAATGATCTTGACCGTTAAAAAACCCGCCAAAATTTTAGGCGCCATTAATTGACAGAGTAAGTATAATATTTTTTAAATTTTTATCAACAAATATATTTAAATTCTTCATATTTTTTAAATATTTATTAACAAAATTATTTAAACTATTTCATTTTTAAATCAGTAAAATTATTTTAATTGCTTCATTTTTTTATTTTTATTAACAAAATTCTTAGTTTTGCTATAATTTATTATAAATGGATCAACAACCGCCGAAAAAATATACTCGATTCACTATCGAGAATTTATTAGGACTTCAGTCCATATTTTCTATTTTTCAATCTGGAAGCGGTGTGAAAAAACCGGAGGAATATGTCGAACTTCTTGAAAACGACATTTCTCACAATGCTAAATTTAATTTTGTTAAAACCTATTCAAAATTTTCTATCAAAGAATTACCTGAGGACCCCGAAGAATTATTAAAAGGTCTAATTTATTAAATAATTAAACTGGTTTATTTTAGGAATTTTTCAATCATTGATTGATAAAGCTGTGGTTGAGAGCCGCAAACACGGTTTTGAACCGGAACAGTTAGGCTGTGTAGTGAGTAGCCCGCTATTGGATCACGATATATGGGTACCAGTGAGGTTGGTTTAGATTTATGAAAAATGTTTTTAATAAAATTGTGATTTTTCAGAGATAGAAATGAAAATACGGTTGAGGCAATCCTCAACCGTTTTCTACTCGTGGCCCAGAGTTTCCGACAGAAAAATGTTACTCTATGGGGGCAGCCGTTTACTGTTAAAGTTACGACTGTTAATAAAAACGGACTGCCGAAACAATGACAACTTCCTGGAGTAGGACGCAATCTCCAACTTGTTCGTCACCGAGTCAATGATCAATCATTGATTAAGCCAGTTTACCAAGTTTTTTTAAAACTTGGTAAACTTATTACCTTACACAAGGGCAAAAGGACATAAGCCAAACTGTGTCTTAACAATCTCTTTACGCCCAAGCGGCTTTTCTGTTCGTGATTATGGTTTTACTTTTAATTAATAATTGTATCTTTCTCTTTTATTTCATAATTTTGTTAAAAAATAAATTTTATAGTGCAAAATTAGTGTGAAGAAGTATATAGTTTTAGGGGTAAATATGCGGAATTAACGAAGAGAAGAAAACATTTAAAACGCGGTAGATTTTAGGGGTGAAAATTAAATTAAAACTAAGTTCAAAAATAACAATTAGAAGTAGTCATTTTTAGGGGTAAAAACGCTGAATTAATAAGATGAAGATGAAATTTTTTAAATTTCATAAAATTAACAATTATGTGTATGTGCGCACGTGTGGTCTGCAAATACACGTGTTACACATACACCACATACACATATGCACACACGTGTGCACAAACTAAGTTCAAAATTAACACTTAGAAGTAGTCATTTTTAGGGGTAAAAATGCAGAATTAATAAGACAAAGATGAAATTTGGAAAATTTCATAAAATTATGAATTATGTGTATGTGCGCACGTGTGATCTGCATATACACGTGTGCACACACATATACGTGTCCACACACGTGTGCACAAACTATGTTCGAAATTAACAGTTAGAAGTTGTCATTTTAAGGGGTAAAATTGCGGAATTAAGCAAATGAAGATGAAATTAGGAAAATTTCATACAAATTAACAATTATATGTGTATGTGCGCACGTGTGATGAGTACATTTACCAACCTTCCATCTCATCCAGCATATCAAATTCTAATGGTTCATCGTTTTTATCAGAATCAGAAGTTGTAGTTTTGTCAATATTAAGTTTGTCGGAAACTTCGACATAAAGTGGTTTATCGTTGTCCATAACAGGGAAGCTTATATAATCCTCTTCTTTATCATCAACTAATTCAAGTAATTCAAGAGGGTAGTATCGGTCCTCACAACGGCGTGGGAACTTCTCAACCACGCATTGAAGATAAGGATAACGTAAACGAATCCTATGTCGTGAATAGTAGTGAGCTGTGACAGAGACGTTATATGGACGAGACAGTGTCCCGTAAGCCATTATAGTATGTGCTCCTAAAGGAAAGTTTGTTTACGTGGGAAATAATTAGAAACCTTTATGGGTAAATCCGTGAAACGTGAACGTTTTGCGAAAGTCATTACGGTCCGAATAAAGGGTTCGGACAATCCTTCCTTTGAGCTTCGAATATAGAATTGCACGCTTTGCCGGGTGGTTTAAGTGGTCTCGAAGAGACTTTGGATGGCAATTTAGTATTTCGGCGCACTCATCGATTAAATGACGCATTTTGAATTTAAGAAATTAATGAATGAAAATTTTTAAAAAATTTTTGGCTTTTATACTCGCTCAAACTTTCACATATATTAAATATTTAAAAAATACCAATTAAGAATTATATGGTCCCTCGATTATACAGAATATTTTAAATGACAGATGTTTAATATATTTAAGACTATTATACTATTAAACAATTCGAACGACCTTGAGAAAATCTTTTAAATTTTATTAAAATTAATATTTTTAACAATAATGAATAAATATAATATTAAATATTATCGGAATGAATCGGTAATTATCTTTTTTTTTAATTTAATTAAAAATTTTAGAAACGACAAGCTCATTATGATTTGCCACTCGGTGTACAGGCTTTAAGAAAATTACAACAAAAACAAAATTGTAAAAATCGGATAATGAAGAATTATCATCGTTATAATCACAGAGAGGTAGAATTTTTAAATTAATTTCATATAACCCGTTGAACTAAAAGAATAAGAAACCTGTTCCACTGCACATCCGCATCCTAAAAATGCAACATACACTAAGAAAATTACAACAAAAACAAAATTATAAAAATCGAAAGATGAACAATTATCATTGTAATCACAGAGAGGTCAAATTTTTAAACTATTTAATTTCATATAAAATTTTAGGGTAAAATATTCAAATATAAGAATCCTGAACCACTGCGTATCCGTCTCCTGAAAATGCGACAAAAAAATCAGCAAATATTTATTCAAAAGATGAAAGAACAAAAGCTGCTTAAAGAATTTTCAAATTTAAAAATTGGCGATTAATAAGCTTGATTAACTTTTTTGTAATTTCGACCCTATTCATTAAATAAATTTATATATTTAAATTAAATATGATTTAAAAATAAGGGGGACCCTAAAACTCGGTATACCCGCAAGTTGTAATACATTAGATATTTATTTAGTTGAGAAATCACTATTTTTTGGAACCGTAGGGAGCTGAAAATCATATGGATTTTCAACAAGATGTCGAAATGTTAGATTCTGAAATAGATGATGAAATGTAATTGAACTTACTGTTTGTAAAATTTTTTGAAAATAAAGTTGAAATAAATTGTTAAAAAATTTAATTTTTAACCTTCAAAAATTAAAACCCGTACACCCGCAGAAGCTTAACTCCCAAAAACATTAGGGGTAAAGGAAAACATCCCAATATTTTGTGATTTTGGATATAGTGTAGTGTACCGGTGGTAAAAGTTCGGGACATGATTTTAATAGTAAAAGCTAAAATTTCAATAAAAAACAGGACAGCTCGACGCAACTCTGCTGACGCAGGTGCATGTGTACTGTCCTGAAACAATTCACCTCGACGCAACTCATAAGAGTGCATTTGTGGTGAATTGTAATTTTGATAAATAACTTTTACCTTTAAAATCATGTAATCTTAAAACCATTATATTAAATTTTTGGGGACGACTTTTTATCTTTTTTATTGATCCGATTATTTTTGTGATTTTAATAGTAAAAGTAAGTTAAAATATTTGTAAAAATCAGGACGTTACCAACGAATGCATTGATGCGACGGTTTTTTTATTACCAACAGTTCTACACTATCGCCATTGGCGCGTGCTTGCACTGTTTGAATCCGCTCTACACTATCGTTAAAAAACGCGTGTTTGTGCAGATTTTTTATTACCAACAGTTCTACACTATCGCCATTGGCGCGTGCTTGCACTGTTTGAATCCGCTCTACACTATCGTTAAAAAACGCGTGTTTGCGCAGATTTTTTTTAGTAAAAGATTTACGTTCAATAAAAAAAACGTATAATGAGGTGTATCAAACTGTCGCATCAATGCATTCGTTAAACGTGAAATAGCAGGTTGAAAGTAAGTTTGTTCTGCATCGACACAAAACGTATACACCGCTCGAATTGAATTTTTGAGAATTGAAATTAAAAAAATTTTTAATTAAAATAATTTTTTCTAAAAAAACCTGACGCATGTTATCAATTGTTTAACAATTCCTCGTTCTTCCAAGACCGACAATTCCCCCATTAATTAATTGATTTAATTGTTCCAAAGGAATATCAACAATAGAGACAATTCAATTTTATAAAGGACCCCATAATTTCAAGTTCAATATATTGACCGACTTGTAAACTTGAAATATCGTCACCATAAATTATTGTTACCCACATAATTTTTTAAATTTGGAATGAATAAATCTAAGAAAGAAAATAAAAAGAATCAATAAAAAGCAATGCGTGGAAAGTTGTTCATCTTCATAAGAAAAGAAATCAATTGAGGAAGATGGATGAGTGACTGTATATACTCAGACTCAAATGTTTTGGTAGACAGGGTTTATAGCAGGGGTGTGCCGAAACGGATTTTAAAAAGCGAAACGCGAAATGCGAAAAGCGAAATTAAATTTAAAAAGCGAAACGCGAAAAGCGAAAAACGAAAATCGTTTAAAAAAAGCGACACGCGAAATGCGAAAAGCGAAAGTCCAAAAAAGGCGAAAATCCGCGAAATGCGAAAAGCGAAATGCGAAATTCTTAAAAATTTTCCGGTATGATGGGAAATCTCTAGAGATTTGTCAACTCAGTGCTTTGTTGCAAATCAAAGCCTCGACTGAGTCTTACAATAGGATTTTGACGGGCATCATGAATATCAATTATATACTACCTAAATAGAAATCCCTATTAAATCCCATGATTGATAACCTCCCAAATAACTTGATCTTCCAGATAGGTATACTTCAAAACCCCCTATATCCCTCGAAGCCTACCTGAATCCCTGTAAGACCACCGTCTTCGACAATCAGATTCTTCTTTTTTCTGCGCCGCAGGCGAAAATTTTGAGAATTTTGTAAGGCTAAGAAGCCAGATTTCTTCTTTTTTTTGCGCCGAAGGCGAAAATTTTGAGAATTTTGGAGGTTTTCAATTTATTCGGACTCATTTTTTCTCCAACCTTATCATCTTACACCTGTCATTAAGGGTGTATAAAACTTTCGCATTTCGCGCAAAAAGCGAAACGCGAAAAGCGAAAAGCGAAAGTCATTTAAAAAAAGCGACACGCGAAAAGCGAAAGTCCAAAAAAGGCGAAAATCCGCGAAATGCGAAAAGCGAAACTCGCACACCCCTGGTTTATAGTACATAGAAAATAGAGAAATGAATTTGTTTACAGAATTTATTTCTCTACCCTATACTATTACAAAAATCCCCCTCCTCCCCTCCTACTATTTTTTATTTTGAAGGATTAATTAAAGATTTTTACCGCAAAAAACAATTTGTAATCAATTAGTAACTTTAGACAAGTCTGATATATCAAAGTCTTACACACAATCCTTTCCCCTCCCCCTACCAATTAGTTACCATACCCTACACCCATCAATTAGTAAAAACAAATTAGTTCAGACCCCTCCCCTAAACCAATTAGTCAACTAATTGATTTCCTCCTACACTCAACCCCCAAACCAATTAGTCAATCAATTAACACCTCTTGGTAATAAAATTTTCATTACCCCCTCCCCCAAACCAATTTGTAAAACAAATTGGTTTCCTCTTACACCCAACCCCCAAACCAATTAGTCACTAATTAGTTCCCTTACCCCTCCCGCACTTGTCAACAGGTTCGCGTTAATAGGGGTGGACCCCTCCCCTTAAAATGATTTATGAGGTACAAATTAGTTCAGACCCCTCCCCTAAAATAATTTAATAGGTACTAATTAGTTCGGACCCCTCCCCTAAAACAATTAATTAGATACTAATTAGTTCAGACCCCTCCCCCCGATTAATAATTTATTACCCGGTCGGTAAATCAAAGAGGGTCATCAAAAAGATCAAAAGAAAAAGCCGACAAAACCCCCTTATGCCCTTTGGTTTTTGTCGGACCCCTCCCCCAGACCCCTCCCCCGACACCCCTCCTATAGGTTGGCGGCATTTCCCTTTGATACGGTTATTGGAGGGTAACTACTTATGGGACTCTAATGTCTCTTCTGAGACCTGAAAAAATTTATTTCCTTACCAAATATTATCATATGGGACTCTAATGTCTTTTCTGAGACCTGAAAAAATTTATTTCCTTACCAAATATTATCATATGGGACTCTAATGTCTCTTCTGAGACCTGAAAAAATTTATTTCCTTACCAAATATTATCATATGGGACTCTAATGTCTCTTCTGAGACCTGAAAAAATTTATTTCCTTACCAAATATTATCATATGGGACTCTAATGTCTCTTCTGAGACCTAAAAAAATTTATTTCCTTACCAAATATTATCATATGGGACTCTAATGTCTTTTCTAAGACCTGAAAAAATTTATTTCCTTACCAAATATTATCATATGGGACTCTAATGTCTCTTCTGAGACTTGAAAAAATTTATTTCCTTACCAAATATTATCATATGGGACTCTAATGTCTCTTCTGAGTCTTGAAAAAATTTATTTCCTTACCAAATATTATCATATGGGACTCTAATGTCTTTTCTAAGACCTGAAAAAATTTATTTCCTTACCAAATATTATCATATGGGACTCTAATGTCTCTTCTGAGACTTGAAAAAATTTATTTCCTTACCAAATATTATCATATGGGACTCTAATGTCTCTTCTGAGACTTGAAAAAATTTATTTCCTTACCAAATATTATCATATGGGACTCTAATGTCTCTTCTGAGACTTGAAAAAATTTATTTCCTTACCAAATATTATCATATGGGACTCTAATGTCTCTTTTGAGATATTCGGCTGTGATCTTTTGTACTATTCGGCTGTGATCTTTTGTAGAATGATCAAAGCAATCCTGATAACTAAATAATCCGCAATTTAGAGCTTTGATTGATCAGAAAAGTTATGGCCCAAAAATGACCTCAATACCTAATCAGCGATAATCAGTGAGTCGTCCCCCACCCCAAGTTTACATACTCTAATTAGAACCGTCCATGACTCTTGATCTTGAGTCTTATGTTGGAGGTTCTTTTTCTTGGTCTTGGGATGACGTCTTGGTCTCGAGCTTTTGAAATATACACTCCTAAAGATGAGTGAAAATCTTCGGTCTTGGAAAGCTCCACTCCTAAAGATGCACCTCAAATTTATGATATTTTTTAAAATTTTATTTGAATATTGGTTGAGTAGAGAGATAATTTTGTCTTTTGTGTTGCTATTATGTATCAAGAAAAATTGTTAAAAATACATATTTAATGTTCGTAAAAGCAGACTAAAACTTAGTATAAAAACAAATAATTTTTCCCTAATAAACATTCCTGTTAGCAAACTTCTTCACTTTTATTATTCAATTGAGCTGCTTTGCGTGTTTGTTTTACAAGTATTTGGCAATTTTTTTTTGGCGTATTGTTCGTTGCTCAATATTCTGTTCGTTTAAACCCTGGTTACGCTTCAAGTGTTTTTGGCAAATTTGTTGGTTCTCGTGTACTTTCTTGGAAATTTGTTACTCGGACGATGAAAGACCATAAACAACAAGAGGAAAGGGAATGCGGGAAGAAAAAGGCCAGTTTGAAAAGTGAAATAAAACAGTCTTTTTTTTAATTTTTAGAATGCGGGTGATGATGTTCAAAAAAAAATTGCCTTAGAAAGGAAATATTATGTACCAATGCAACTTGTCCAAAACGAAGAACAGAACAATGCACCTCAAAATAAAGGAGTTAAAGGATGGTTCGAAAGTAAGTTAGGTTTACTAAAGATAAAGTGACCATCCTAAAATAAATCTGAGTTTTTCCGCGAGAACTTTTGTTCCTTTAAAACAATGCGGGAATGGTCACATCCTCTTTAATTCTTGAATTACTGTTACTTTAAAATTTTTATTTTAAGCTATTGGAAATCGTGGAGGAATACCAACTATCAGGGAACAGTTTGTACGTGAATTGGAAAATTATGAATGTATATCTGCTACTACAAAAGAATATAAACAAGCCAAACATTACGACCTTCAGCATTATGTTGACGTTCCATTGATCGACAAGAATAGAGTTAAAGTCAAAAAGGGATTTAAAGGTGATTAACCTTATGTTTAAACAAAAAATCCTTAATATTTCAGGTATTGACTTTTACCATGCTAATTTCATTACTGGTGGATGTTACCCTCTCATTTGTGGTCAGGGGCCAATAAATAAATCAACTTATCAATTTTGGGCATTGGTCATTGAGCAAAATTGCGGTGTAAGTATTCTGATTTTAAGTCTGCCTAATAGGAAAAATCTTTAAATTCAGGTCGTCGTTCAACTCTGTAAAGATAATGAAGGGGGCGAAATCAAATGCGGAAATTATCTAAATAGTGGAACAACGAAGTACGGACAAAATATAACAATTAAAATCAAAGAACAAACTGTTTATTTACCCTCCAATAATGATGTCCGAAAAACCGTAATCGAAGCTGGATATAAAAACAAAAAGTTCATTGAAGTGAGTTGATAAAGACTTCAAATAGAAATTCTTAGGGTTTGTATTATGCAAACCGGTGGGGCAATAGTTTAAAGAGGTTCCTTAGATTTTCATTAGGGAAATATGAGTTAACCCTAAATTTGAGAAAATATTGATAATCTAGCCTTTTTTAATTTTAAGGTTATACACCTGCTTTATCTTGGTTGGCCTGAAAATGACGTGCCTTTTTCGCCTTCTTCATTCTGCCAGTTCAATAAATATATTCGAGATCTTGCTGAAAGTCGTAAATGTACAGTTTTTTGTCATTGTAGTGCTGGCGTAGGTCAGTTTTTGTGTTTGTGTTTAACCAATTTAAAATAAAATTTTAAAGGGCGTAGTGGAACTTTTGCAGGAGTTCAATTGGCAATTCAAACATTAATTAAATTAAATCGAGAAGTACAAATTGCTACAATTTTTCTATGGCTTCGTGATCAGCGGGCGTGCTCTGTACAAACTGATCTGCAAGTGATTTCCTTTTTGAAAAATTCAAAAAATAAAATTTATTTTTAGTATTTGTTCATTCATCGAGCAGTTATAGAAGAAGCAATAAATTGTGGATTACTTGGAAAGAATAATAAAAAAGTCAGCGCCTTCATTCATGAATATGATCAACTCGTAAAGCGAAAACGTGAAGAACGAAGAATTTTAATGGAGAAAATTCGTGGTGATAAGTGAACAACATATTTGCTCTTGTGTATTTAATTCCATTTGTCTTATTTCTATAAGCTTAATTTGTATCCGTTGTATATATTCCTTACTATAAGCTTAATTTGTATCCGTTGTATATATCCCTTACTATAAGCTTAATTTGTATCCGTTGTATATATTCCTTATTCCATTACAAATGTTGTATGGTATTTTTATGTATCCTATTAATTTATGAGCTTGTGTATATGTCCGTATCCCTTTATTGATGGAAATATATATTTATTTAATTACCCCTACACAACTATTAAATTCTGCTTAAAGTATTTTTTATATTTTTGGTAAATGTCTTCTGTATTGTCGAACAGTTTAGGGCAAGTTTTATTTTTTATTTTTCTTTTCAAAGAATATTTTAAAAACCTTCCCGAGTATTTTTCTTTATATTTTGGCATTCTGTTTTAAATGAGGCCGCCAAAATTACTCATTTGGGGAAAAAGTCCTCTCACATGTTTTTTTGGCCTTTTCCTTTTTTTCGAATTCAGCTCGGTTCCGTTCTTTAATTTAAAACTACGTAAATCCTCTTCATTTAGGAAAATCTTTTTAGGAAAAAATTTAATAAAGAAAGCCGAGGCTCTTTCAAATTTTAATTTCTTTTTAATTTTAGGATCTCAACAACAGTAATTATACTTGTGATGAGTTAACTCCAAGTTCGATTATAAAATGGCCAGCTGTGCATCTGATTAGTATTGATTCGATCAAAGACGTCAAAATTGGTGTTGGAATCGAGAATTCTGTGGATGGTGTGCTCACTGTTGGAATTATTTTGCAAATAAAGGAAGAGGGAGTAATTACTGGAATTAATGAATGTTGTAGTTCTGGAAAGAAATCTGCGCTTTAAGCTTAAAAATGTTGATTTGGTTGTTAAACGAAGCGTTATGATGGCAAATTTAATGTTGATGAGGTAATTTGTATTTGTTATACAGGGGGATCTCTTCCTAAGATTTACTCAGTAATTTTAAGCTGGGGTCTCCTCTAAGAGCACCTCCATTTAATAGACGTCTTTAAATTTCGGGTTGGCCACTGAGTGTGAGAGTTGCCTAATGAAGTTGGAAGGGACGGAGAAACTGTCTAATTGCTACCCTCTATTTAAGACACCCCACCTTTTTCAACCCCAAGGGTGTACCTTATAATGTAATCTGACTTAAAATTTTCTTTATTTTTCAAAAAGAATATTGAACGTCTCGTTTTGGAAGTCAAGCCATTCAGTCGTCTGCCCACATCTTCTTGGAAAGCTCTAATTCAAGCGCGTTTATATGTTGCGGAATATGGTGGTTCTTTTCGTTTGGTGATGGGGGAAGTGTTTGAATTGTCAACAAATAGTTCTAGGGTTTCCGAAGTGCTTTAATGCCCATAGATTTCGACATCTATTTCGTCATCTAGGGTTTCCGAAGTGCCCTAAAGGCCATAGATTTCGACATCTATTTCGTCATCTAGGGTTTCCGAAGTGCTTTAATGCCCATAGATTTCGACATCTATTTCGTCATCTAGAGTTTCCGAAGTGCCCTAAAGGCCATAGATTTCGACATCTATTTCGTCATCTAGGGTTTCCGAAGTGCCCTAATGCCCATAGATTTCGACATCTATTTCGTCATCTAGGGTTTCCGAAGTGCTTTAATGCCCATAGATTTCGACATCTATTTCGTCATCTAGGGTTTCCGAAGTGCCCTAAAGGCCATAGATTTCGACATCTATTTCGTCATCTAGGGTTTCCGAAGTGCTTTAATGCCCATAGATTTCGACATCTATTTCGTCATCTAGAGTTTCCGAAGTGCCCTAAAGGCCATAGATTTCGACATCTATTTCGTCATCTAGGGTTTCCGAAGTGCTTTAATGCCCATAGATTTCGACATCTATTTCGTCATCTAGGGTTTCCGAAGTGCTTTAATGCCCATAGATTTCGACATCTATTTCGTCATCTAGAGTTTCCGAAGTGCCCTAAAGGCCATAGATTTCGACATCTATTTCGTCATCTAGGGTTTCCGAAGTGCCCTAATGCCCATAGATTTCGACATCTATTTCGTCATCTAGGGTTTCCGAAGTGCCCTAATGCCCATAGATTTCGACATCTATTTCGTCATCTAGGGTTTCCGAAGTGCTTTAATGCCCATAGATTCGACATCTATTTCGTCATCTAGGGTTTCCGAAGTGCCCTAATGCCCATAGATTTCGACATCTATTTCGTCATCTAGGGTTTCCGAAGTGCTTTAATGCCCGTAGATTTCGACATCTATTTCGTCATCTAGAGTTTCCGAAGTGCCCTAAAGGCCATAGATTTCGACATCTATTTCGTCATCTAGGGTTTCCGAAGTGCCCTAATGCCCATAGATTTCGACATCTATTTCGTCATCTAGGGTTTCCGAAGTGCCCTAATGCCCGTAGATTTCGACATCTATTTCGTCATCGCCCTAATGCCCATAGATTTCGACATCTATTTCGTCATCTAGGGTTTCCGAAGTGTATACGAACAAAAACATAAATGTTATACGAACAAAAACATAAATGTTATACGAACAAAAACATAAATGTTATACGAACTAAAACATAAATGTCCAGTGCCTGGTTTTGATAGTCCATATGAAGCAAGTAATCCATTCAACGCCAGCATTGAATTGGATAATAAAAAATTTATTTATGTAAATATTGGAATTCTACAAGCGAATGAATGTTTGGAAAAATTTGCGGGATGTGTGATGGATCTGGTAAATTTTCTTGAAAAATGAGGGTTAAGAGTTGTAGGCAAACGTTTATCAGTAAACTCCTGTCAGTGATTGTTAGGCAATGGCTCACCACGTTCAGTAGGTGCCTGAACTGCCTTAGAGGACGACACTGGTTTCTCACTCGCTTTTAGATTTTTAAGTGATACCAGTTAAATTTTCCTTTTTTACTTAGCTGTCAAGCGATGGTTCTTCTAACAATAAGTCATATTTTTCAAAATTTAAAAAAAAGATTCAAAAGCTCCAAAATTAATTAAAATTTTCTCTAATTTTATAGGAATGAAATATGGTCAATTAAAACTTCGTCCAATAATTTCTTCCAATTTGAAAGCAGAAATGGAATATAATCAACTTCGTTTAGAGCAAGTTCTCTCTCCTTTGTTGGCGCTTATGTATGGGACTGGAGACAATGTACCTAACAATTTAATTCGTTCTTGTCTTATATTTGCTTGTGACCATGGAATGAAAAAAATTGTTAAGGAATTGGAAGAGGTTTGGAAAAAAATTTGTTTTTAAAGTTATTTTTCAATATAGATGATTTGTAATGAGTTAATTACTGGACCTAATATTCTGCTTAATCATTTCCAATTTGCTGAGAGATATCATTTGAAGAATTTGGAACGCTTTTCTCTGTGGCAATTGGAATGTGAAGAGTAAATAAATTTATTAACGTTGGACCTCGGTATAAGATACACCCTTGGGGCTGAATAAATACTCTTATAATGGGGTTGTCTCTTAGATGGAGGGTTTCCCAATCGAGTGGTCTACCCAGTTTATAATAACGTATATTAAATAGAGGTTTCTCTAATATTGGGGGTACCGGTCGGCAAACTTTTAGGAAGTTTCTTAAACTGGGGGGTGTATCGTATCTATTTATCTTATAATAAGGTTCGATTCAAATTCTTGATTTATTTTTTAAGGTATCACAAATTAGGCCTTGCACTGCTCGAATTAGAAGATTACAACAAACTTGGAAAAAATATGCGATATAATATTGAGGATCGTCTTTGTAGTGGTTGGGGTGTTTATAACAAATCTTTGGCTAAACGGTAAATTTTTTAATCTAATTCAAAAAAATTTTTTTTATTTTTGAAGTGAAAAGAGTGGAATTATTCGTTTTGTGTTAAACACCCAATCTTGTGAGCCTGAAACTGCTTCAGTCAAAAACGATGATTTTTGCACTGTGGCGACAGAAAACGAGGCTGAATTCGATGCTTACCAGCAAGAGCTTGGTACTGAAGTATAGAGAAATAGGAACATTAAGAAAATAAAATTTTTAAATAAATATAATTATTGTATAGGTGTTTAATTAAATAATATTGTAATTCTTTTTTCATGGTTTTAAATTAGCCTGTATATTTTTATATACATTTATTTCAAGTATTTTTTAATTAAAACCCCGTAGTTTTAAAGTCTCTTCACCAATTCAAACCCCAAAATATCTAAAAATGTTTGTTGGACATATTCTTTTGGTTAGTTATCTTCTATCAATTTGCTTTATTCAAATTGCTGCTTCCAACGACAACGAATCAGGCAAAGAGGAGATAATTTCCCCAATAATTATTGTTGGAATATTGGTTCTCTTGTAAGTTGAAATTTTAAGATTTTTATAAAAGAATTATTTTTTCTTTCCTTCAGGGGTATTTGTGTTGGCTCTATAATTGGCTACTTCTATGTCCGCCATAACCGGAAGAAATCTGATGAGGATGAAGATGATGAAGAATTCAATTCCAATAATTTTAGTAGAATTTACTTTGCTGAATGGAAGGAGGTAAATTGATAAATAATTTATTATCTTATATTCATAAAATATAGTTTTAGTAGTTGGGTTAACTGGGGAGTTTTTGAAATTTCTAGAAATTTTATTAAGGGGATATTAATAAATATATAAATGATTTTTAACCAGTTTTAAAGGGTCTTCATAATGAATTAACTCGAAGTGTGCGCCATTCAGAAAAAGAAGGTTAAAGAAATTTAAAATAATTTTAGAGAATTTTTTTGAAATTTTTGTTTAGTTAGAGTTTTTTTTGTTTTTTTTGATTTTCGAGTTTTTTGAAAATTTGATTTTTTGTTAATTAAATGTGTTTAATTCTTGCTGTGCTTGCTACTCAATATAATCCCGTGCCTTTTGCTTAAATGCATTTTTGATAACAAAATTTGCTTTAAAATTTATTTATGGCCTGTTTTTTTAAATGAAAAAAACAAATAAATTAAAATTTTGGAATTTAATCAAAAAATATATTTTCTACTCAGTTCGATTTTTCTCGAGATATCTCGTGAGATTACTATTTATGACCCTCCCAGTCTCGTCTAAATAATAAGAGAGACTAAGACTTGCCCCCGTAACTAGAGACCGGACTGAGATGATATCTCAAGCAAAATCGTGTTATTATATGAGAGATATGTATGCCATTTTTTATATGCCGTCGCCCTCTTGTTTGAATCGATGTTATTATTTTCTTCTACATGGCAATCATTTATCTTACCCATAAAAAATGCTTTTCTTAAGTAAACAATTTGCCTAATAAAAAAATAAGATATACATAAATTATTATTCAAAGAAAATAGCAAGACAAAAAGGAGGCGGAGAATATTTTTATTGAAAAAAATTATTTTCATTAAAAGAAAAATAACAAAATTTTCAACCAAAAATAATACATACCTATCTTTTATTAATAAAATTGGAAGAATATTTAAAATTAAAATTGAATTTTAAAAATTATTTTTATTTAGGTATTTAATATTTACAACAAAATTTTCAAAATTTATTTCTTTAAATGATTGGTGTATTTTGATACTACGGGCAGGTAATTAAAATAAAAATTAAAAAATTAAAACTAGATTGATTTACTCTCACAAATCAAAGTTAGATCCTTCCAAAGTGTCTGATCTCAATACTACCTATCAAGGACGATTCAGTATCGAAGCCATATTTTGGGCCATAACTTTCTTATTTTTGCCTTCGATTCGAGTAGTTCTCATATCATTCGAAAGGTCTCGAGATGCGGCATCTTTTTAATATTGAACTGATCGAAAATTCTACAGATAATTAGTGCCAAATAAAGTCGAAAATCACGATTGTTAGCAGGCTGTGACCTTTTGTTGGATGATCAAATCAATCCTGCTAATTAAATAATCCGCACCTTTAGAGCTTTGATTGATCAGAAAAGTTGTGGCCCAAAATATGACCTCAATACCGAATCAGCGATAATCAGATAGTCGTCCCCCACCCCGATTTTAATACCCATAATTAGAACCGTCCATGACTCTTGATCTTGAGTCTTATGTTGGAGGTTCTTTTCCTTGGTCTTGGGGTGACGTCTTGGTCTCGAATTTTTTGAGCCTTTGAAATATACACTCCTAAAGATGAGTGAAAATCTTCGGTCTTGGAAAGCTCCACTCCTAAAGATGCACCTCAAATTTATGATATTTTTTAAATTTTATTTGAATATTGGTTGAGTAGAGAGATAATTTTGTCTTTTGTGTTGCTATTATGTATCAGGAAAAATTGTTAAAAATACATATTTAATTTTCGTAAGAGCAGACTAAAACTTAGTATAAAAACAATAATTTTTTAGCTAATAAACATTCCTGATAGCAAACTTCAACACTTTTATTTGTAAATTGAGCTGCATTGCGTGTTTGTTTTGCAAGTATTTGGCAATTTTTGGCGTATTCTTCGTTTCTCAACACTTCTGTTCGTTTAAAACCTGGTTTCGCTTCAAGTGTTTCTGGCAAATTTGTTGGTTCTCGTGTACTTTCTTGGCAATTTGTGACTCGGACGATGAAAGACCATAAGCAACAAGAGGAAAAGGAATGCGGGAAGAAAAAGGCCAGTTTGAAAAGTGAAATAAAAGTCTTTTTTTTAATTTTTAGAATGCGGGTGATGATCTTCATAAAAAAATTGTGCCGGATCAGAATGCCTTGGAAAGGAAATATTATGTGCCAATGCAACTTATCCAATACGAAGAACAAAAAAATGAACCTCCAAATAAAGCAGTCAAAGGATGGTTCGAATGTAAGTTAGGCTTAGTAAAGTTGAAGTGACCAGCCTAAAATAAATCTCTAAGTTTTTCCGCGAGAAATTTTGTCCCTTTAAAACAATGCGGGAATGGTCACATCCTCTTTAATTCTTAAATTACGGTTACTTTAAAGTTTTTATTTTAAGCTATTGGAAATCAAGGAGGAATACCAACTATCAGGGAACAGTTTGTACGTGAATTGGAAAATTATGAATGTAGAACTGCTACTACAAAAGAATATAAACAAGCCAAACATTACGACCTTCAGCATTATGTGGACGTTCCATTGATCGACAAGAATAGAGTTAAAGTCAAAAAGGGATTTAATGGTGATCAACCTTATGTTTAAACAAAAAACCCTTAATATTTTAGGAATTGACTTTTACCATGCTAATTTCATTACTGGTGGATGTTACCCTCTTATTTGTGGGCAGGGACCGATAAATAAATCAACTTATCAATTCTGGGCGTTGATTATTGAGCAAAATTGCGGCGTAAGTTTACTGATTTTAAGTCTGCCTAATAGGAAAATCTTTAAATTCAGGTCGTCGTTCAACTCTGTAAAGATAATGAAGGGGGCGAAATCAAATGCGGAAATTATCTAAATAGTGGAACAACGAAGTACGGACAAAATATAACAATTAAAATCAAGGAACAGACCGTTTATTTACCCTCCAATAAAGATGTCCGAAAAACCGTAATCGAAGCTGGATATAAAGACAAAAAGTTCATTGAAGTGAGTAATAGAAATTTTTAGGGTTTGTATTATGCAAACCGGTGGGGCAATAGTTTAAAGAGGTTCCTTAGATTTTCATTAGGGGAAAGATGAGTTAACCCTAAATATGAGAAAATATTGATAATCTAGCCTTTTTTAATTTTAAGGTTATTCACCTTCTCTACCTTGGTTGGCCTGAAAATGACGTTCCCTATTCTCCTTCTTCATTCTGTCAATTCAATAATTATGTTAGAGATATTGCTGAGAGC